AAACCCTAAACCCCAAACCCTTGGACAAAAAGAAGCCCTGGAAGGATCCCAGGGATGTGACTTCTTCAACGGCCCTGCGACGACGATCTGCGGCTCTGGTCAGCCCGTGGACGAGCAGCTGCGCAAGTTTCTGGGCATTTGAGGTCTCGGATTTGATTCGGGGTGTACGGTCTAGGGGTTCAGGATTTGGGGGGGCGGGAATGCGAGGTGTTTATTGTGAAGGATCTAAGGAGATGGGGCAGTTTGAAGCTGTTAGTTTCGTGGGAAGCTGCGAAACAGGGTTGCAATTACCCGTGTTTTGGGGTGCAGGTTTGGTTCTTTGTTTGCTACTGAGATGCAAGTCCTGTCGCCAGGCACCTCAAGGGCATATTGTTAGGGTAAGATGTTGTGTGTGCAGACTGATAGCGAACAGCACAGCACAAGGCGCGGTCATGTGCCCTCCTGCCTAAACCCTAAACCCGAAACCCTAAACCCTAAACCCTTCAGAACTGTTGGGCTGTTGCATTCGACCGTGTGTGCGCAAACTCTCTGCCTGCGGGCCGAGGATTGCAACTGCGTTGCCGCAGCCACATGAGACTCTTTCGATCGCAAACACCCTACACCCGAAACCCTAAACCCTAAACCCTAAACCCTAAACCCTAAACCCTAAACCCTAAACCCTAAACCCTAAACCCTAAACCCTAACAAAAAGCACCTGCACCTTGAAACTCCCGGTGTCTGACTCGTTTTGGGACCTCTTCGTTCGTTTGCCGAGGCTGCCTCACCTGCCTTTTCTCGGCCCACCGTGAGCTCGTGAGCTATCAGTATTTCTTTTTCCTCATTGTTGCTATTATGCGAATATACAAACGATGATTATGATTGTCTTCACTGTCATGTACTATGTAGCACTATCATTGTTCTTAAAGCAAGGGTTTACGGTTGGGGCTTGAGGTAGAGGACGCACAGGTTTCAGATGGTATTCGAAGTCTTGTGCTAGAGATGCCTGGAGGGTTTTGATCTCGCTCATGGTTCGTGCCTTGTATCTAGAGTACTACAGATTGGAACAACACATCGTGACATCGTTTACATCCCAGCGTGGATCCGCTGCGCAAAAAGCGCATGGGGCCCACAGTCGCGCACAGCAGGCTCTCGGTGAAAAGTGACCGTGGCGCCCTCTTCGCCCATTGGATCATTGCTACTTCTGAGCATAAAGACGCTGTGCGATGCGGCGTCTTGGGGTTTTTGCGGAATCCTAAAGTCCTTGACGCCCGGGAGATTGCTTAAAGGATCATGGGACTTAGTAAGTAGGGATATAATTAGGGTAGCTATACTTACAACCCCAATTAAGGGACTTATAACCTTACTCACTAAGTCCCAAGATCCTCCAAGTAGCTGCGGAAAGGACGCTCCGAAAGCGCCGCTGCCTTCCAGGCCATGCTGCGCCGCGCGGAGACGGCGGCGCGTCCCCTCGTGGACCGTGTCGCCGACCCGCTCGGGCTCCCGAGAAGACCTCAGGGTTTTTGGATGGGGTTCTCTCCTAAAGGATATTGTCAATTTATCTTTAAAGGATCTTTAAAGGATACTTTCGAGGATCGTGAAAGGATCTTTAAAGGGAGTTAGGGGATGCTCAGTATCTTGCTGACGCAGGCTTACCCCTGCGGAGCCCAGTCTCTGAGGAACTTCGAAGGGGCCCAGAAGTCGAGGAAATGTAGAAGAGTAGGGTTCCCTAGCATCATAGGTATTCTATGACGTGCCCCGCAAAGACTGTTCTAGTCATTCAGGCCCCCATATCAAGCCCTGTCTCTTTTCGCTCTTGCCGCTTTGAGGGTAAACGTTGGGAACTCCTGCGAACTCAACTAGCAGTGCTACCCTAAACCCTAAACCCTAAATCCTAAACCCTCATGGTCATGTTCATGTCAATGTCGGGATGTGCTTCTGGTGATTCGAGCACTGGCCCAAAGCCGACGGAGTTTCCGTGATTTGGAATCTTGCTTTCTAGGCTTAACATCCTCTAGTTGTCGATGCTGCCGCTGTTTGTTGTCGTCATCGTCAGAAGTAGTGGTCGTAGTCGGAGGAAGACAAGACAGAGGGATGCAGCCAAAAGCTTCCCTGGAGGTTCAAGCAGATTATCTCGGCGCCCGTCAGGTGCGAGCCCCGGTTAAAGACCAGATTCACGATTCGGGTGCAGTGGTGCAGGGGCAGGAAACCCACTGGGGTAGCCCTAAACCCTAAACCCCTAAACCCCAAACCCTCAACCCTAAACCCTAAACCCCTAATTCCCTAAACCCTTAAACCCTGAACCTAAGTCCCTCCAAGTGTCCAAGCCAGAAAGCCTTCGACCGACATCCGAAAACCCGAACTCGAAATGGTCCATCCCAAAAGTGCAGACTTGTCTTCACATAGACTCCAGCAGCCACGGCCGTTTGTCAGGTACGGTTTTTTTGCAGAACCGCGAAATCTTCAGCAGTTAGATGGCATTTGGCTGTCGGATCTTGTGGGGTTGCAGATCTCGGAAGCCGATGGTCTGGAGCCATTCCTGGTTTCGCAGGTCTGGGCTTGGCTTGGGAGCTTGCTTCGGTGGTTGAGCGGACCTTGTGAAATGAGTGCCCGCACGATGTTTCAGACTCTCGAGGCACTGCCTGCGACTCCGCGAAAAGGCTAAGCCGTTGCATCCCAGCTTTGGATCCACAAGTCCCTCACACTGCGCCAACAAGCACAAGGTACTATAGTGACTAGAATCCACACATCGAGAACCTTCAGCCAAGCCACCTGCCCGGCAGTTTGACGGAGTCGAAGTTCCAGAACATACCCCAAGCCCATGTCCAAACCCTCAGCCAAAAAGGAACGGTCCATGCCTGTCTCTGAGATGTCTAGGACTCTTTTGCTTTAATCTCCGGGCGTGGGGTGCGAGATACAGGGAACGTAGGCTCCTGAATGCATTGCAAGTTGTCCTGGTCGTCACAGAGGTGGGTCGAGGCGGCGACGGAGGTCGCCAGCTGTGACGGGGTGGACCCGCACATGCCCCGGAGGGTATTTTGGTCCTTCGCCCTACCCCTAAACCCTCTGCCTCTGGGGTTTCGCAGAGCTCGGTGGTTTTACTGGCCCTTTTTCCTAAGGCCACTGAAGCCTGCGCTCCTGAGGTGTAAGGGGGGTGTAGAGGGGGTTTAGCGGGGGTTTGCGGGGGTTTGAAGTGAAGCTCCGGGGGTTTCAAAGTCAACCAAAACCCTAAACCCTAAACCCTAAACCCTAAACCCTAAACCCTAAACCCTAAACCCTAAACCCCAAACCCCAAACCCTAAACCCTAAACCCTAATCCCAAAACGCCAGCAGCCTCAACTCTGTTTGTGCGGGGCCGGGCTAGACTTCTCGGAGCTTCCGGCGAGTCCCAGCTCAGGACTCGAGCTGAAAGAGTACTTGGAGGATCATGGGACTTAGTAAGTAAGGTTATAAGTCCCTTACTTGGGATTATAAGTATAGCTACCCGAATTATAACCCTACTTACTAAGTCCCATGATCCTTTAAGTAACCCTAAACCCTAAACCCTAAACCGTGTAATTATAAGCCTACTTACTAAGTCCCATGATCATTTAAGTGAGGGAACCCAGGAAATGGGCTTCAAGGATCCTTTGAAGCTTCATACGGTTGATGGTTTAAATCCTGCATTACCCAGGATAAAGACTATACCATAATTCCCACCCTAAACCCTAAACCCTAAACCCTAAACCCTAAACCCTAAACCCTAAACCCATAGTTTAGGGCCCTCAAAAGAATGCAGGATATATGATACATACCATCAACAGTAGCTCCACCTGAATCTTGATCCTTGTCCCGGAGCATTGAAAACCCCAACTCCCTGTTTTCGAGGTACTGCGGGGTGGGCCGGGGCTACCGAGAAGTGTGCTCGCTGCGACCTGGGTGCAGCCAGTTGGGGCGCAGGGCATGTTCCTAAATCCTTCACCGTCACCCCTAAGCCCTAAGCTTTTTGGTGCGTTTCGAGCCGCCAGGTTCGCTCGAGCTGGTGCTTGTCTTGTTCTTTGTGGCATGCGTCGGTTTGCACTCGTGCGAACTTTACGCATGGGCTCCCACCAACCCAAACCTGAAAAAAACTTGACATGTACCGCAGCACAAGCAGTGGTTTTGGGGTGGAGGTTCGAGGGTTGGGGGTTTCCGGGCGAGTGTAAGAAGGTAGTGCCCCAAAGCCTAAAGCCCTTAAGGCTCTAAAGGGGGAGCCTAAAATGACCAAATCCCAGAGCCCCAACGCGAGAAAAGGCCCGATTCGCCGATGGGCTTCGGGCACGGGCCTCGATTCCTCTTTGGGAGATTTTGGACGCCCAGAGTAATATAGGGGCCTTGATAATTAGAATAGGGTTTTGGGGTATCTTATACTATAGATATAACAAGGAACCCCCATAAATAGTACAGGTAATTAT